TTTAGACGGCGCTGGACGTAAAGTGCGGTCATACGTTCTCCATTTTACTGCCAGTTATGTTAATTACCCCGTGTTCTTGACGCCTCGATATCCTTCGCTCTTCATTTTTCACCCCGTAACGATCTGGTAGACGTTTTGTATACAGTTCTTTTTAGGGCCGTCCACCAGTGCTATCATATTTTTTAGAGTCTAATCCTAATTCCGATCGCTGGGTGCGTGGTGCAGAACGCAGGAATAATATTTCTGCCGTAGCTTTGGAGAAGTAAATAAATGTATCGGCGATGATTTTTTAACGAGATAAGAAAATCTTTGGGAAAGTTGCATTTATAGTGTAGGTCTGGATAAATTGGTCGAGATGGTGATTATCTATGAAAAAATGTGATTGTATGGGGATGAAATAAGAAAGTAAAATTTACAGGTGGTGCCATCTCGCGTCGCACTCGCGGAAACTGCAGGACACTTCTGCCCAAATGGCGGCGGGTATTTTGAATGGTCGGCACGTAGAGGTTCTATTCAACGTTCGTTGGTAAGGCAGAGTCCGATTGGATATTCTCGACAGAGCTTCCATCCCGTTTCCTGTCTCCGGTGAGAGGATAGAACTTTTTTTCGGAAGAGGAAACCACTTTACCGGCGACATGACACGAACAGAAACGAACCCTAATCCCCATTGAAACTAATTTCGGTAGATGGCATCAAGTCGTTGTTCCAAATTCGCTGAAGCAAGCTCAACTCTTTCCGACTTTCGACGTGCAGAAACCGGATGACAACTTTTGATCTAACACGAAGCTCAGTCCGGTGAGTAATTTTAGTCCTGATAGCTAAAATTAAATAGAAATATTCTGAACGTACAGGTTTCTCGGTTGCACATCGAGCAGAATGCAGTTTTGGAGGAACGGCCAATTAGCGGCGCTTTCGGGCGGAGGAAAAAATTTTATTGCATCGTGGAAATCCCAAGGAAAAGAAGAAACTCCCGCACGACTAGAGCCATCGGACAATCCGAGCAGATGGTTCCCGTCCGAAGTCTCGTAACGATACTCGATCTTATAAACATCGACCCGTGGCCAAAGTATTGTCGAACTTCCCGCAAGTGTGCTGTCTGAAATGCAGCCAACAAATCCGCGTCCGTCCCTCGCCGTGGAAGAGTTCAAATTTATTACTTCCGGCCGATTCCGCCAGTTTCTCGGAAGATGGCGACTGCATCGCTATCGGAAAATCGGTATCATGGTATCCCGAGAGGCGCGCCGAGATTTTCGGAGCTACGAGGCGCACCGTCCTCCGTATTAATTTCCAGAGATGTGGCGGCGGGAAATCAATTCCTAAGTCGATCAATAATTCCCCGAAGTATGTCCGACTACCGAGGCATGACCGTACTCGTTTATACAGGCAGTTATTCTATTCCGGTAGTGCGCTTTTAACAAACGGTCGTTAACGCTTAACGGCGCAGTTAAGTCGAACAGGCAAGATGGCCGCAGCTGCCCCATCTGTGTCTAGAAACGGCACGTGAGATCTAACCGGCTCGACTCCACCTAGGAGATATTAATTTTCCCCGGAATTACGCGAACGCCTTTGCCGCCGTGGCGCAGATATTTACAAAAACGCGGCCAGACTACGGCGACGTCACCGCGACGTCATCGGGTGCTCCACGAAATGAGTAATACCTTCGGGAAAAAAAAATAGTAAGTCGGCAAGAGGTGGCTCCATTTCGGGAGCAGCGCCATTTCTCAAGTGTCTCGAGCAACCCCCTGCGGTAGTCAAAATCCAAACACTAAATCCCCGAATTAAGTGGGCTACGTTTCGTGCATAAACAGGGACCAACGGGGGTCCAAAGTTTCTTGGTACTTGAAACGCCGTTTCGATCGAGTACCACCGTCGGGACCAACGCGGCTAGCTCCCTCGGAAGGCCAGAAATCGTAAACGGTTTTCTCGATCCTCTCGAAACCGAAACCGAACTCGCGACCCTTTCGAAACTCCCGAAAAGAATTTTCCTTTTTTTCTCAGAGAGTGCTCAATCGGAATAGGTCCTCGTTCGAGAGGAACTTGCGGTTTCGAAATAGCAGCATGAACGGATAAACAGGTCTTATTTCGAGAGCGAGTTCTCTCTTTCCTTCTGTCGGCCATCTTGAACTTGCGCCAAGAGAACACTCTCCAGACGCCCTTCGTGAACGCCGCCAGAATTCAGGAAATCGGGAAATTCCCTCCTATGAATTATCTTCGGGGAAAATTTTGGAAACTCTATTCTTTTCCTCCGTTATGATTGGCACCAGTGAAGTGACCCAAGGGGGGCCATTGGTCGGTCCCGCGACGACATGGCGCCATTGTGGGTCCACTCTTCGGACCCTCGAAATTCGATCTTCCGGAAGGGATCCCTACCTGCCGGGAGCACCACTTGGTGTGAACGGCGGGTAATTATCGGCGTTTAGTACCTTTTCAAGTACTTTAAGATATTGGCATCATCAGGGCCCATTCGTTCGGAATCCGTTGACCCCTCTTAACGACCGGGCCCGCTCGGCTACTGGCCCATCGTGAGAGCAGGTCAGAGAAATCGAAATCCGAAATCGATATCCGAAATTGGAACTCTTTCTGGCTTTTCCAGATGCAGTCGCCTCGTTTTGCGCAAACTACCGCGGGGACTTTCAGTCCCGACAAGATACGCGCGATCGGCGGTATAAAATTACTGTACCGTGTAAACAGAGCATCTCGTCGGCGCGTGTGATGGCCGCCTGGGTGGCCGTCGCTTCATGTAAAGCCGTCACGTGCTTTCCAGAGGCATCCGCGCTTTCGCCGCGACTTTTTCCTCGTCGGGATCCCCGAGCTCTCTTCTTGGCGACGCGTCCTGGTTGCCTTGGCAACGGTCTCCACGGACGCCCTACGGCTGTGGCAACCGTTGCCAAGGGAACCGTGTACACTAAAAATTGTGAATAAATTAATGGAGCAGATTGAACCGTCAGGATATATTTAATTCATGAAATTCCCGGTTTTAGGTGAATTTGGAAGCCGAAGAAGAGGAGGAAACAGGGACTCTCTGGCAGGGGATGGAGGGCCCTCGAGGTTGTTGGACGACATGTCGGGAGACCTCTAGACCCTCGAGGAAGGCACAGGGAAGAACGGTAAACAGCAGCCCCTGCCTTATCTCCGGAGGGATGGTCCTGGCCCGAGGAAACCCGGCATGCATTTTTTTCTCCAGCCACTTTCAACCCTTAACCCCTCCTAGTCTAAGCGCCACTACTGAGCGTGTCCTTAATAAATTAACACGAGAGCCTCGAGGAACTCGAGTTCCGGTCTAATCGGGAACGTGCCCTTCGTCTCGAGACGCCAGGAGACGCTCGAAAGGACTCGAGACTCCTCGTGTAAAATCGGAGATAGGAATTGGAAAAAAATTCGGGGTGGGAAAAATTATTTCATAAGAAGATGAAGACCAAGGAGTACTTGGAAGAGAAAAGGATCATCTTGGTCGGAAGAAAAGAGAGATGCAAGGATGTACGTCGCGAACATGGCTCCGACGAGCCGGCTGGAGACAAGATGGCCGAGGCGCGTTTCTCTCGTCACGTCGTTCATCCGAAGGCAAACAAACTCTTTGAGAATTCATGGTCTCGTGAGAGGAGAGCCCAGCGGCGGCCATATTGGAGACTCCGGGCGATAAGGCGCCGAATTTTCATATTTATTTGTCCAGCCTTCGGACTCCTAGACCCGCCTGTCTCTTCTCTCACGAATTTAAGATCCTAGATTATTCGGTAATTTGGCGTTTACTATTAATAGCGGCTTCTAATCGGCGAAATTAATCAGCGACAAGAGAGGGGATCTCTGTGCTGGCCAGGCCCGAATCGAGGGCTCGATAACGCTCGGTCGTTCTTTCTTCGCCGGACATTCGACACCGTGTCACGTTTTATTTATAATAAACATTCGAGCGGATCGATTCTCTAACGATGTATCCGACGATGGAAGTCTCGAGCCCCGTTAAAGGCCCGACACTAAGGAGCCGCCATTCTCCAAGAGATTCCACGTTCCTAATCGATGACGACGCCCGACGTCGTTCTAAACGATCTACGTAAATCCATCAGAAATGACGTAAACGCCGTGCGTCGAGTTCGAAAAAAGGACATTTCTCCCAAGGCCTGGACGCGATTCCAATTTTTTCCCCCGAAGGCAGAAATTGTTCTTTCAATCCGCCCCAAAGTTCCATATATTGCAAATCCCAGAGATTTGCAACGACAACTTTTCTTTGTTTGCGGCGGCGAATCCGGCTTTTCAGGGATATAATGGTTAATCGTGCCGCTTCACGTAGACCCGGACACCGCAAAGAGATCCAGGGTCTCGCGTTTCGGGGAACCCGTGCATTAAGCAATGTTAACAAAGGCAACAATGCTGCAGGCCTTCGGTTATTATCCGCGAGGTGGCTAATAGTCAGCGGCTCGACGCCATTGGCGTTCGCCGGGACGTCTCGACGATCTCGTTGAGAACAGGCCGGCCCGCCGAGACCCGGGACCAATGGACCTCCCGAGGGATGCTGAGGTTTCCTCCCACCAGCCATTCAGAGCGAAGACGGGCAGTCCGTCTCCTCTGGACCAAAGCAAACTCCCCGATAGCGGGACACTCGCGCGTCGGCCAGTCGTGTGGATGCGAGCACTCGCGACTCGGACTCAAACTCAAACAATTGCCCGGGCGGGAGTTTAAACAATTTACTCGAACCGCGTGTACATAATTGTAAACCGATTGTAAACGTAGCCGAACGCTACCAGGAAGGTGAACGTCCTCCCCCGATAACGTGGAATTCATCATCCTCCGCGATCATTCTGCATTTTGCCTCTGCTTCTGGAATTTCCGTGTAAACCTCGGGGTAGGCACCGATTTCCGGAAAGTGACCGTGGTGTCGGGTTCGTACCAGGTCCCGAGGGATCTAACTGGAGCAAGATCGAGTCTGGACCCTCTCGGGATGCTGCGTCGCGGTGAACGGTGCGCGTAGGGGACGCTGGTCCGATGGTACTTATCAGGTGTCGGGTATAAAAGGTTTCCTCGTCCGATAATGTGCGAGTCGCGGTCATAGAGGGTCTTCTCCAGAGCTGGGAACTCGAAGAGGAACCTGACCTTTCTCGAAGCGAAGATGAAGAACGAGGCAGAGTCGAGTTTGCAGCTGCAGAGCGCATCGGTGACGAGCATCGCCGGTGCACAGGGGCAAGGGTCGAGGCCGACGAACTCCTCGATGCAGCTACAGCAAGGACAACCCCTGGACCCGCTGCTGGTGGGCCAGAACAACAACCAGGAGGGTCCCCGGAAGCCTGGAGCACGTCGCCAGGAGAAGCCGCCCTACTCGTACATAGCCCTGATCGTGATGGCGATCCAGTCGAGTCCTGGGAAGCGGCTGACCCTCTCGGAGATCTACACCTTCCTGCAACAGCGGTTCCCGTTCTTCAGAGGAGCGTACCAGGGTTGGAAGAACTCGGTCAGGCACAACCTGAGCCTGAACGAGTGCTTCATCAAGCTGCCCAAGGGTTTGGGCAGGCCAGGCAAGGGCCACTACTGGACCATAGACCCGGCCAGCGAGTTCATGTTCGAGGAGGGCAGCTTCAGGAGGAGACCGCGAGGCTTCCGCAGGAAGTGCCAGGCCCTGAAACCGCAGTACCCGCAATATTTCGCAGGCACGACGCCTATGAGCGTCGGGGTCCAGGGCGCGGGGTACGACAACCTCGGGGCCGGGGTGGAGTACCCGAATGGGTACCAGAACCAGTACCAGAACTATCCGGAGTACGCCATGTACGCCCCGGCCAGCTCCATGGCCGCCGACTGGGGGTACCCGGAGGCCTATAAGGCTCCCCCCATCGGCGAGGTCACCTACAAGAGTGCTCCCATAGCCGAGGTGACGTACAAGGCGCCTCCCATAGCCGAGGTCACCTACAAAACCACCGAGGTTACCTACAAAACCGGCGAGTCCTCGGTCTACAGGAACGGAGACGCGGGTTTCAAGAACGAGCCCGGCTACAGGAGCAACCCCGAGGCGGTCTACAGGCAGCCCGAAGTCTTCCAGGCGAAGGACCTCCATCACCATCACCACCACGCACCGGATATCGTGTACAAGCCCGACGGAGTGGAGCACGATGGTATTCTGGAGTCTTTCAAGGGCACCCCCAGTCCCTCGGGAAACTCTCCGGGGAACCAGGAGTACTATCAAGGGTACGGGATCCAGGGCGCGGGGACCAACAACGGCATCGTCCAGAACGCGATGCAGGGGATGCAGGCGGGTCCTGGGAGTCCCATCGGCAGCGCCAACTCCACCCACAGTGGCTGCCAGACGCCTGCTGGGGATCACGGTAATGCCCTGTTTTATTGTTTAATTAGGACCCATTGGACGGCTTCTAGGTACCCTTACACGTGCAATGAGATTCCTCCTTTCGGGAACCCAGCACCCGGGCAGCGGCTTTGATGTTCTCGGTGGCTTTGATGTCCTCCTCGTCGCATGTCGGAGTTGTTTTCTCGAGGCGGACGCTCGGCGCGGCAGGTTTGTTTTCCGGGGAAAAAAACCTAAGGAAAAAAGGAACAGGTTAAAAGGTCGAAACCGTGGGTGGTACGGGCCCGTCCGCGGGAAAACTTGTCGACGGGGCCCTCTTCTGGGCCCCACGGGGCCCGAGACTCGCGACGGCCTCGACGGGGCCATCTGGAAAATCGGAGCCGGGTTTACGACCTCTCGGGCGCCGGGACGCGTAACTCGAAACTGGGTAGGTCATTTTCCGAAATCTTCCCTGAACTTCTTGCGCCGAGAGTTGAATTTTCTCTAGTTTTTTTTCTTCTTTTTTTTTTATATAAGAAATATGATTAGGGTCGTTGGGAGAAAATAATGAAAATTACGGATTTTATGGGGCTTACGGGAGTTATACAATTCACGAGATTCACCAGATTTATGTCATTTATGTCACTTGTGAAATTGACGAAAATGACGGTCGATGCACCGATTCCGAACGCGGAGGTCTCGAGATGGAACGCCTTGACAGCGGAGGATGACAGGGCCTATTAGTCGCGGTGACACGGCTGTCACGCCCCTGACAGCCCTAAGGTCGTAAGTCGTGACTCGTAAGTAACACGTGTACCATCCCATTGGGTGGTGCCACGTTCCGGGCTGTGCGTGGGATTAATTTAGCGTGAAGAATTGGAGCGAGGGCCCGCTAAAAGGTTACGCGAAAGGATCGCGTCGTCGACGCCGTCGGCGACGTCGGCGTCGCGTAAAGTGCGCCCTCTCTCCCGGGCCCAGGTAGGGACGTCGAAAAGAGGAGGGAAAAAAAAAATCCGGCCCACTTTTCCAAAACGCTCCAGATATTTTCGGATATCGGGACGCCGGGGGAGGTATCGGAGTCACGGTTATTTATACGGCGCATCAGTCCGGCGCCGTTTTTGGCGTTACTTCCGCGACCAGATTTGGGATAATCGGAAATACCTCAATTTGTCGTGGCTCCCTCGTTATCCGGGGATCAGGCTCGCTTAGAGACTCTTAGGTTAAGAGATTTTCGATTGGGTAATGCCGCGTCGTGTAAACGGAAGTGCGGCGCGGAAGTTGAGGAAGCGTCCGAGGCAGCCACCGAGTCGCTCGCCCGTAAGTGCGATCTCATACCGTTTATCGTCCAAACATTTACGAGCACGATAAACAAGATGTTCCCTAATCTACTACAACTCTTGGAGCCTCCCGAAGAGGCGACGAATAATTCATAAAATCACCGGCGAGGCGCGGCCCTCTTAATCCAAGATGGCGGGCGCCGCGAAGCGACCGCGGACCCGTGATACGAATCTTGCGATTAATTGCCACCCTCGATATGGAATATGCTTTATAATCGCTTGTAAATTATCAAAAGGTATTGCTCCATTGATAGTCGTAGGCTGGGCCACTGGGATCGACGCAGAATTGCCGTCGAATCGGCGCCGCCACCCACATCGGATATTCCTTGCGCCTCGGACAGCGAAGCGTAAACGAAATCAATCTGCGGGCGGCTCTGCACTGCAGGCCGGGCATCGTTCCTTTCTTTTCTTTTTTTCCCTCCCGTTTCCCGAGGAGTCGCAGGCGACGGTATTTCTGGCCTCGATCTCGCGCCGATCCCGACTCCGTGTCGCGGCGGATCGGAAGCCACGAGGGCGAACTCGACGTCCGACGCGCCGGATCCGGCCGTCGAAGTTAAAAGTTCGACGGCAAACCGTTTCGCCCTCGTCTGGTCTCGTGTCTGTCGCGTGTACACACGTGTACGAGACACGCACGTAGCCGGTGGCAGAAGCTCTGAATCCGTGAGAGATTCGACCGGCCGCCGCGCGGACCACACACGACGCGGCCGGCCGCCATCTTGGTATCCGCGGCGCTCCCGCGTCTGCAAGAAGCTTTGTACTCCCGGCTTTGATTTCAGGAATCCGATCTATTCCTGTAAGTCCTAGATATCCTAATTAAATTCGTAACAAGCGCGCCGGAGGTTGTCATTTATCGAGTTCCCCTGCAGGCGAGTGGAGCCCTCCTCGTAAATTGCATTGAAGGGCAGGTAATAAATTGCCAAAATGGCTTCGACTCGAGAAGTGCGCTTCGGAGGCGCCGGAGAGAGAGGTCCGGATTGGGACCGAGCTAGAGCAAGAGAGACGGCCAGACGAGGGAAAAAAGTCGAGGCAAGAGTGAAGTGTGCACTTGAGGAAGAGTCTGCTCGAGAGCTGGCCGAGCCTTCGAATTTATTTGACGTACGAGAACTGATTTTTATCAAGACTCTTCTCTTGCCTCCCTCTTTCTCTGCCCTTTGCCACGTCATGTGTGGTCCCGGAAGCGCAAATTCGGAATTGTTCGGTCGCTGATTTTCTTCTAATGAATTATTTTTTCGGATTTCCTTCAGGTATGAGGATGCAGTGCAGCTCGGCGTCCAACAGCTCCGGAGGCGGACTGATCGACAGGAAGTCCTCGTACCTTGCTCATCCCCCGAGCTCGGTGTCCTTAAATTCTCTGAGCTCGTTGAGTTCCTTGAGCTTGGGCAACATCGGTGGGTTGAGCATACCGAACATGTCCTCGAATATCCATGCGTCGACTCCGCCACCGACCGCCATGTACTACGACCAAATTAAGTACGGGATGTAACGACTTCGTCGGGTCCATTGTTGGGAAACCTGAAGGAAGAATCGTTTTTTAAGTACACGTCTGGAAAGGTTCAGATTCCGAAGCGAGCATTGCCTTAATTGCCTTATAAAGGAGTCGCACCGCAAGGTTGACGCGAATAGTTGACATTTATCCTGAATACGTGTGTGTATTCCATGAATCGGTACATCGGATAATTACCGAGGATTAACCGTCGTTTAATTAGATCGAGGGCGATCAACGTTAAGTTAACCGGAGTCGACTAGAAAAGTGTCCGTTTAGGCAGCGACTGATCGCAGCATTCTATTTATATTTATGATCGATCATCAATGAATGTCGTTATTAATTTAAGCTGTGTGTAGACGATCTATGTGAAGTAAGATTAAATATAGCATTTGGTAAGAACTTCGAGTTTCCCTTTTGAATTTACTTAATGGCGCGGTCTAACGCGATTCTTGGCTTCTGGGAGCAAAATCGACATTATCGAAAATGACAACATGCTGCCAGCAGACCTACGCCAAATGTTCCCTCCTCCGCAAATTGCTCAACCCTGTCGTAAAACCGAGCATCCTGGCTTTTTCGGGAAAAACGAAGGGAAAAGGAAAAAAGAAAAAACGAATAAGCAGTTAAGGGTGCAATCTCCGTTTTCCAAAGGTCGAGCCACGTGTTCAAACATCTCGATCGGCCAGGCCGAATCGTGTTTCCTTCTATTATGTTCCTAAGGCAAGGGATTCGAGGAAAATGAAAAATCCCGATTTTCTACTCTCGATAACAAGCACTGGTTAACTCGGACTCTCGTTTTGTTCCGGAGGGACTCCGTCACTTCCTAAAATAGCGGCCAGAAGAGATCGCGATCGTGGGCGCAGATTTGCGGAAAACTCGAAGGAGGCCGGAGGATTTTTCAGGATTTCAAGAGGGCAATTAATTCGGTATGAAATTAGGAAGGAAGATTCTGCAATGCTCGCACACTTTGGCTATACGCTTAAATCTTGGGATTTAATGCGCCCCTGAACGGTCGATCGCAGATGGCGTCGAATCATGCGAAACAGACTCCTACCAGGGACATTAATTCCCCATTAAAAATTTTTTTCCTCCCCCCCCGACAACCTCTCGGAGTTGGCCGCAACTGCAGAAAGTCTAACTACCACTCTCGGCTGAAAAGCACCGGCATTGTCGAAAGTATTACTGCGGCACTTAGGTCGAGTGGTCGCTGGAGAAAAAATACGAAAAAAAAAGAAAGAGACGGTAACGCGAGTATAAATTCTCATCTTTTTCCCCCGCAAATTAATTACGCACGTCGCTAAAGGTCTATACGGATAGTACGACTATTCTCGCGGAATTTAGGTTACTTAACAAATCCTTCCCCGAGTTCTGTCTGGGAAGAATTTTTGCACAAAGTCGGTCGTAAGTCAAAGCCCTCGTGGACGTTAAACGGGATTTGTGGGCCTAAAAGCAGGAATTCCCATACGACGTGCAAGCCGAGCCACTCAACGAGCTCGACGACAGCACTTTCGGTCTCGCCGTCTCTCTCTCTCTCCGTCTCGGTTGCCCGATCTAGTCGTTCCTCCTCTAGAATCCGTAAAAATACCGAAATTTCGAAAACGCGTCGACCTGTATCATTCCTTATCCGCAGCCGGATAAGGATACCACGGACCGTACAAAGAGACCCACTTGGACGAGACACGTTGGACACGAGTGCACTCTTGACTTGTAGGGGGATCTAAAAAACGAAAGAAAAACTTTCAAGACAGTTCGCATGCGCCCTCTTGTTACGCGAATGAACGGCCACGCGTAATCGAGCACGATAACGAGATGGGATGTAGAATTACGTTTTTGTCGGAACAGGTGGGGAGGCCAGGATTTCCCTTTTTTTTTTTTTTTCTGGAATCCCTGATAGTCGGCTGCGTTTTTCCAGGCGATTTGAAAATGGACCAGGACTCGTGGCGAGCGGAACGGAGGCGCCCTGAAAAGGAAGGGGTTCTCTCAGGAATAATAAACTCTGCAAGGCGAGGCTAGACGAAGCGAGCTTAAACGGCCTGCGACTTACACTCTGCAGCCGTCAGGCCCAAAATGTCAAAATTTTCAGACGAGAGGAGGTCGGCTCCTTTTTTTAGACGGGTGATATGGATCTCTCCCTCGAGATCCGAAACGCACCAAACAAATGGCCCCGACCTTTCGTTAGATATTGTTAGAAAGGAAAGAAATTCTAAGTCGCGCGCTCAGAGTTACGACCAAGAGGGGCAGCGGAAAAAAGGCGTCGCCTAATCTCGTTTATTTTTTCAGCCTTGAGTAGCTGTTTGTGTAACTAGGAACAATGGGCAAAAGCAGCGGGGTTCTCGAGCACATATTGTTTATGCGTGGCAATTAATAAGGGCTCGGCTTACGTTTAGAATTAAACTCCAGATAAAGGGACGTATTAGAGCCGAAGTCCCCGAGATTTTCAATACCCACCGGGCTACTCCACTTCCTCAGGCAGTGCCGCGAATATCTCCTGGAATTCTCTTTTTATAATCCTTGAATTAAATGAAATGAATTTTTTTCATGAATTTCTTTTCAATCGACTTCTCATAGATTTCTGTGTTTCTTTCTGTAGCCTCGAGGAGTCGTACAGATTCCGACAGCTCGGCAGTCGGTAAGTTTGCATGCAGCTTATCGACTTGCCTCGGATTTTTTACTGATTAGATCGAGTACCAGGAATTCTCTGCAGATGTCCTCGGGAATTCCTCGAGCCATCTTTGGGTGTCGGAGGGATTTCATGGTATTCACAGCCACGGGTGTCGACGATCGATTGGGGTCGACAGCCCGGTTATATCCGCTGCAAGGTGTTTACGGTTGTTTCTCTGGAAAAAAAAGAGATTAATCACGATGGAGGAGATACTGTTAAAGCTTTTGGTAGCCGACAACAACGTAATACAGCAGGTACGAATTACAGCGGAGCGTACGAGTCGTTCCTTCGGGAGGCGACGAACATTTTTTGGTGCACGTGCTCGGATGCGTCAATCCGTGTCTTTTAATCCATTTTTAATTAATTACGGGCAGCGTTAGGTAACGTCTAACGTGCCCTTTAAATGGTTAATGCCATGGTCCATCGAGCTTTCACTGCGCACTCTGCAATTCTAGACATTTATAAAGAGGAACATAAGAGAACGCGGTGTCACCGTTACCGCGTCCGCCATCTTGGATCAGTAGTTATGGCCACGTTATGGTAGGGCAACCGGTGGCCGGCTGTTCGCCGATGTTCTGATTCAATTACTAATTGACCTAAATCCCCACCTAATTTTAATTCAATTTGATAGCTATTCATAATTTAACATTATCTATCTTGTTATACAAAACTGACTGTAGCCACGTTCGGTACTAAAATAAATAATTATAGTGCATAAAAAATACCGAATTTATATATGAAATTTCCATTGTGAATAATTTTTCAGGGTACTGCAGAACTGCGGGAAGCCTTTAAGAGGCCGGAAAGTACGCCGGCGCTTTGCCAGCTCATAGTGTCCTCATCTAATCCAGAGGTATCGAAATAATCAGAATTCCTGATATCACTCTTGAGTAATTTATTTTTCCCTAGAAATCTAATTTTTACAATTCAACAGATCAGACAGTATGCAGGCTTGCTGCTCCGAAAACGATACAGTAAAAGCAAGCACTGGTTGAAATTACCAGTTAATATCCGCACAGAATTCAAGGCAGTCATTTTACAGGTATACAGGACCTCTTTTGAATTTAAATTAGTATCTCTAGCGCGTAACAAATAATCTTTTACGTTCAAGGGACTCGTCAATGAATCAGAGAAGTCCGTGAAGAATTCAATAGCCCAACTGATAGGTACGATAGTGAAGCATGAACTTCCTAACAACAGCTGGCCAGAGGTGCTGCAATTCGTCCAGCAATTGGTCACCAGTGAGAATCTGGCTGAGAAGGAGGTTTGGGTTAATCATGAAAAAGCGATTCGTTTACCCTAATTCACTTCTAATTACCTTGATCATCACCTTTCAGCTGGGAATGTACACTTTGGCCATGATGACGGAAATTGCTCCAGATATATATTTACCGCACATCCAGTCGATCACCATTCTTCTTGCCCAGACATTGAATGGTCTTCAGGAACTGGGCAGTCCTACGGCGTTCTACATTATGCGGACTTTACTGCACCTCGTGCCTGTGATTGAGACGAATCCGAATGTAAGACCTCTAATCGCATATATAATTTTTTCCTTTTTCAAGCGAGTGAATAAAGTCGTCTTTTAGGTAGTTAACACCTATGAGCAGATGATACCTCAAGTGATAGCGACTATCCATCGTTTGGCGGTGACTAATCAAGACCAAGCCATCGAGGCTTTCGAGCTGCTGGATGATCTCTGTGATAGTGCGCCTTCCGTGATTACTCCCCACGTGAAGACTCTCCTCAACATGTGCCTGAACATGATTCCGGATGAATCTCTGAGCGAGTCGTTGCGAGTAAAGGCCGTCGTCTTCATCGGCTGGCTCGCCAAGACGAAGAAGAAGGCGATCATCAAGCACAAGATGGAGAGGCCGATCATCGGTAAGCAAGCGTTTCCCTCCACACAATTTTTAGGCCAGCCACCAAGCTGAGGCCGCAAACAAGCGATGATAAACTCGTCTAGCATCGATTCGCAGATGTGCTCTTCACGCTGATGTCTTTGCCTTCGGAGGATGAATCCGACGGAGTCTACTTCAGGGACGACGACGATGACGACAACACGCCCATGGCGTGCGCCACCCAGACTCTGGATCTTCTAGCACTTCATTTGCCGCCTGAGAAGTTGATTCCACCATTGGTGAGGATTTCACTTCTAAAACATGATTTTTTAACGTAACTCGATGCTCGAACGACTCTTCTTTCTCCAGCTGGAACCGATAAACGCCGGAATCCAGGGAACTAATCCTTACGCGAAGAAGGCTTCGTATTTGGCGATAGCCGTTCTCGCCGAAGGGTGTTCCGAGTACATCCGAGGCTCCTACCTAGAAACCTTCCTCAGGTGTATCTGCCGAGGTATCACGGACTCAGCTCCAGTAGTTAGGAACGCTGCTCTCTTCGCCCTGGGTCAGTTTTCGGAATATCTTCAGCCGGAAATCAGTCGTTATGCCTTCGAGTTGTTGCCGGTGCTCTTCGAGTACCTCGGTCAGATCTGCACATTAATAAAGCAGGGCACGGATGGGCAACCTTCGGTTGGCCGGATCTTCTACGCCCTGGAGGTCTTCTGCACAAACCTCAACGAGGGCCTTCTGCCTTATCTGCCGACCCTGATGGAGAGGCTCTTCGAGGTCTTGACCCTGGAGAAAGCTTCGGTTCACGTGAAGGAGATGGCCTTGAGCGCTATCGGGGCCGCTGCAAATGCCAGCAAGGAGAACATGCTCCCCTATTTCGAGAAGATCATCGCCCTCCTCGACAGATACCTTATGGAAAAGCAGGACCAGTCGACCATGTGTCTGCAGATTCAAGCGGTTGGTCGGTATTCAAGAAGTTATTCCGTTCTTCTAGGTGGGTTGTTACCGACGTTTCATTTTTATGTTCAAACAGATACGTTGGGCGTCCTGGCTAGGACCATCGGCGAGGAGCACTTTGCACCTCTGGTGGAGAGGTCCCTCAATTACGGGTTGCAGCTCATGAAGGAGACCGAGGACCCTGAGCTGAAGAAGTCCATCTACGGACTCTTCGCCTCCATCAGCAGTATCATGAAGAAGAACATGGCTCCGGCTCTCGCGCAAATCGTTGACCACATGATTAATAGTATACGCAGCACGGAGGGTATAGTGGTAAATATGTCCATGTGCCTTCAGCTGGGAAACGGCCTTTCCTGCAGAGAATGACGATGCAGGTCCATTGACAGGAGGTCAAGGTCTTTACGTTTTTCAGCCTCACTTCAAGGACGACGAGACCTCGGCTTTCCCTGTCTACGAGGATCTCAGTGAAAACGAAAACGAGGACGAGGAGGATATCGAGCACACCGACAGTGAAGAAGACAGCGACGACGAAGACGTTGCTGGTTACAGCGTGGAGAACGCTTACACCGGGGAAAAGGAAGAAGCCATCCTTGCTTTGAAGGAAATTGCAGAGTATACGGAGTAAGAGTCGTCTCCCAACATGAAGAAAATGCGTTTGGGCTTTTTAACTCTTCTTGTCGTGTTTTCAGGGATGCCTTTCTACCGTATCTGGAGAAATCCTTTGAAGAGGTTTTCCTGATGATGAACTATCCTCAGGAGGACATCCGCAAGGCGGCCATTGACGCTCTTCAGCAGTTTTGTATCACATTTTCGAAGATTGGCACAAACGAGGGAAGGGAGGCGACGTTGAAGGCCCTCTCCGTTTTTGTTCCGAAATTGTCGGAATTGATCAGGTTGGATGACGAGAGGTCGGTCGCCATTTCGGCTCTCGATGCCTTTTCGGAGTTGCTCAAGGAGATCAAATCCTTGGTCCTTGTCAGCGAGGGTCACAAGGACGCCATCGTGAACTGCGTCATAGAAGTGATGACTGGTAGGCTAACTTGGTTAAAAAATAGAATCTAGGAGGATGCCTAATTTCTTTCCCCCCCGTCAGGTAAAACCGAATGCCAGGATCAAGACGAAGCCGAAGAGGAGAATGCCGAGGCCGAGCAGGACGAGCTTTTGATCGAGTGCGCCGGCGACGTCTTCACGAACTTTGGGAAGATCATTCCCCCTGAAGATTTCGCGTGTTACTTCCAGACTGTCCTCCCGTTGCTTCTTGAGAAATTGGTAGCCACTCTTCGTCGTTTCCAACAACGCGGCGTTTTGAAATTCCTCTAATTATCCATCTTCTAAATTTGCAGAAGAAGAACAAGTCGGTGGCGCAGAGGTCCTTTGGGGTCGGCACAATTTCGGAGTGCCTTTCTGGTTTGAAGCACCTTACGGCTCGCTTCGTACCGCAACTGCTGCCAACATTCCTCAAGCTTGCCAACGACCCCAGCTCCGAAGTTCGAAATAACGCCTTCTACGGAATCGGCGAGCTCGCCCTCAACGGCAAGGAGGCAGTATATCCGTATCCTTTTCCTGGCTACATTATTAATGTGCCCTCGCTCTTTGATGCACCCTGGCGTTACTTTCAGCCACGTTTAAGCTCCTTGACTCGTTCCAACATCACGACAGGCATTATTCGGAGATTCTTCAAGCTCTCTCAAGCGCCATCGCTAAAGAGACTTACGGAGGGGCTCGCGACAACGTGGTGGGTGCCATTGCTCGTCTCGTTACAACGAATTACAACATAATACCGCTGGACCAAGTGTTCCCGGTGTTCATTGAACAGCTTCCTCTGAAGGATGACCTCAATGAGAACAAGGCCGTCTTTGAGAGCATCCTTGTTCTCTACAGAGACGGCCATGCCATATTGCGGCCGCATATGCAGAAACTCCTGCAGGTGGCCATTGGCGTGTTGCACGAGAAAAACGGAACCGACGATGGTCAGTATGTTCGTCTCGGTCGCGTTGAACAGTCTGAAAATTAAGAGACGTCACAGGTTGAGCTAATCTCAATTTTATATTTCGCAGAGACGAAGAGGCTCGTCGTCGAGTTTTTGAAATCGGCCCAGCGAGATTTCCCCAACGAGTGGAACGCCACGTTCTCCGAGGTGCCGCCCGAAGTCGTGGCAGAAGTGCAGAAGGCGTTCTCGTAGACCGTTCTCGACTTCAAGACTACCCTTGAAGCTACATTTTTACCTCCAGGCACGGTCCGGAACTCCCTCGCCTTTGAGACTGCGCCGAGACTCGCGTTTCCTCCGGTACCCTCTCTCGTCAACGAGCACCCTCCCGAAGTCCGTGAATACAGACCCCTTTTGCAAATTTTACACTTCGTTTCCCGGCTCGGCATTCCCGTCCTGAGACCGACGTTCCCGTTCACTATTAGTTCGAGTCTTGATGCACTAATGCGAGTTTCGTAGCGGTCTTCGGACCCTGGTAGATTTTCCAATTGACGCCGCGCAACTCTCTCCCTCGCTCGGTTTCCGTGGAGGATCTGGAAGGGAACCGTCGTTAAAAATTATCCCAAGGGGGGAGATACACGCGACACGTTTTCCTATTTATTACGAAGCTACTCTAATGTCCGGTGCTCGGTTAAGCCAGCCCGCGATACCAGCGACTGGTCGGAAATTCCCGGAAAGTAGATCGGCGATCACCTCGTGATCCGCGTAGGCTCTTCAGTTTCTTGCGCGCTTGTACGGCTATGAACTTTGCGGGCGGCATATAGGGAAGAAGCCGAGGCCAAAGTCTAGTCAACATTATTAACCCTTCTATTGGAACGAACGCTTGGAAACGTGCCTACTCGCATCGCAGGTGGCGCTCCGGTCGGACACGGTACCGCATGCACTTGCTCCTCTCGCGCAACTAGATCTGCATCGGACTTCGGTCGAATAGCTAATTTGTACTTTGTGCTACAATATCCCCTGGCTCCCTTGATTCTGCCTCGTCCTCGGGACTGCTGCATCGGCACCGTTTTGTTAATCGAGGACCATTCTCGACGCGTTTATACATGCAGTTACAGTTACAATGATATCAAAATTGTACGTGTACATTGGAATTGAATGTATCCTCGCGAATAATAAAGAATTCTGTATTTTTCGTGCGCTCGTTACGTCTGATCCCTCCGAAAATTCCGCGCCACTTCCGGTGGTTCCGGGCTGGATCGCGTGTCCGGACGGACGTCTCGAAGGGGTGGATCGAAGGGCACCATCCGCGGAATGGGATATGTCACCCACAGGCTGATATCGAATAACCGGCATTGCTATCGTACCCCTTATCAAGAGACAGCAGATAAGTCTTCTGGTCAGTCAGGTTTCCAGATGACTGCCCGATTCCTTGTTCCGCGCGACGCGCAGCCGAGCGTCGTCCAGAGCGGGACGTAACTCGGTCGCCCGGAGGTCTCCGAGTCGCGAACATCCCGAAGAAGTTCCTCTCGAGTTCCGGGACACCTCTGGCGACGACGCGGACCTAACGTCGCGTGAAGTCCTCCTCTAAACCGGGAAAAATCCTCCGCACCTTCGGCAACGACCGCGACTCTCGTGACAGAGAGAAGCAATGAACGAAGTGGCGTAAAAAAGAAAATCCGGGAGAATTTGGAGATATCTCAGAGCCTCTCCCTCCGGAAGAGATCCAAACCATCCACCGATAACATCCATGGCATCGATTGCATCGACACCCCGGCTGCAATCGCGGGGTCCAAGGGCCCCCATGGTGAACGGGGTCCGCCATCTTGAAATCCCCCCGTGCCATCGGTAGGACTCTCGGCCGGATTTTACGGTGCTTTACCCAGGAGATAATGGCCCCGAAGAAGCGAAAGGGGGCACCTGCTAGTGCGAGTCGAACCCGAGGGTGATTCCGCGCGTTCTTTCGACGCCGGTATTTCTTTTAGAATTTCTCCTGACTGGATGTCTGGGTGCAGCGTCTGCTGCTCCCACAAGTGTACAGATGGCAAGCGCTGCTGGCGATATATGGTGAGTCCTCGTTTTAAGCGGCTCGGGTACAAAGCATAAAGTCCAAACCTTCGATTATATGTACTGTAATACTTTCGGAGGTGTCTCGGTACCATTCGGTTACTCTTCGCGTAAGCGGGGTATATTCATTAATTATTCCCGCTTCCTTCCCGGGGTGAGTAAAATGGCGCCGGGGGGGCGATTCCCGGCAGGATGCGATTAAGACGTGACGATCAAAGGAACGTCCCAGCAATGAGGAACGATCGGTAGGAGGCCATAACCTTTTAGATCGGCTCCGCTAACTGCTTGAGCCGGCACATTGTGCCAGTACGTGCTCCGCAGTTCTTATAATTCTTCCAGCTGGAACAAGCCTAGTGCCTTTGTCTAGTGTCCTAGCTGCAGAAATGCGCGTCCAAGAGTGCCGAACCGGGTAACGCTCCTCGAATTGATTAACGGCGGCTGTTCTCACACTACGGCAAAACGGTACGGTAATGGACATCCACTCGTTCGCTTCCCATTCGCTCTCCATGTACCTCGAGTCGACGGTAATGACCGATTACTTCCGGTCTCCACTGTTCACTTCTTCCGATGGCAACATTCCTCCGCTTCTAATCAACGACAAGTACTTTGTACGCGCTTTCGAGACCCGATAAAGCGCCCTCCTCGCTTCCGGTGAGTCCTCTTGAGTCATCTCTCCAGATAAATATCTCCGGCGGATTCCTCCTCCGATCTCGAGCGATACGTTAGATTTCTTCCCAGGAAACTTAGTCAGGCTTCTCATAAGCCCCGCGCACTTCCGCTTATTGCTCTCGGATCGATATCGGCGCGTTGTACTTGCCCGCGGTCTCCTTACGATTCTTCGAAGTGAAACAAACGTAATTCGCCATTGTTTCGCTGGTCAGTGAGGGAACCTCGTATCGGTTTGTTCCGGCATACATATAGCCTCATTTAGGCCGAGTCGGTCCTTTGGACAGACGCCAGGTCTCGTCGAAAAAAGTCGGCCGCTTAAAAAGGAATTCAATCCTTCCTCGAGGTCTCTTCGGCGTGCAGGTGGATCCGTACGGCATGCGGTTTGCGTGCCGAGGTGTGACGGAAGAAAGTGCCGGTAACGTTTTCACCGGTCCCTCCTCTATCGCGGAAAGTAACGAGATTGCAGAACCGAGTGCTCCAATTTGAGCGGCGATCAATTCCTCCCCCTGCGTCTCGCGGACACTGTCGGGTTTGCATGCGCGTACCGAGCCGTGTACAGGGTACGATCTATATTTACTCCTAATGGAGTTTCCGGATCGGCCTCGAGTGGCCCATTTCCGTTATCACGATAAAGCCCGGCTGAAAGCGACGCGGTGGAAAGCGCGCGCAGGCGGATTTCAAGATAGCGGGCGATTTGCTTTCAGAATGCCTCGGAGATGGGGGCCGACGCTCCCCCGGAATGAGAATACGACCCTCGGTTTTAATCCTCGAGGTAAACCACGATGGACGTCGAGTTGGTGACGAGGAACTCCCTGTCTTCCTTGCAGAAGGCCGGGGAGGGTCGAATCGTCTCCCCCGATAATCTCGAGGACTGGACATGGACGAGTCTCAGAGTAGGTATCTCCGTCGCCCCTCTTTATCCTTCCAGCCTCGGCTTGAGATCTAAAACACTAAAGATGAACATCCATGAGACACCATACATACGCCTAATTAATAATTTCCTCATAAGACCTGGAACTCTAGGAACCGATCCTTGCGCGGTAGCAGGAATTCGGTGTGGGTATCTCCGTCTCCCCTCTTTATCCTTCCAGCCTCGGCTTGAGATCTAAAACACTAAAGATGAACATCCATGAGACACCATACCTACGCCTAATTAATAATTTCCTCATAAAACCTGGAACTCTAGGAAACGATCCTTGCGCGGTAGCAGGAATTCGGTGTGGGTATCTCCGTCTCCCCTCTTTATCCTTCCAGCCTCTTCTTTAGATCTAAAACACTAAAGATGAACATCCATGAGACACCATACCTAGGCCTAATTAATAATTTCCTCATAAGACCTGGAACTTTAGGAACCGATCCTTGCGCGGTAGCAGGAATTCGGTGTATCGTTGCGATATCACCTTACGACGTATCTCTATCGAGTGGCTCGATGGGTATTTTTCTACCGATCGCACACGAGTGTCGCATGACAATTGCTCGTACTCAATGCCAAGTGGCGCGGGGAAAGAATTGCGAAAAACGGAGAAAGAAATCGCCTATCGGCCCTCTTCACGCGAACCGCTGTTTGCGGGCCGATTTTTCCATGTTTCTCGAGCAACATTGAATCAGGAAAAACTACCAGTTAATCCCCGATAGGTTAGATAAGACCGTCGGTTTCCGTAAACTAGAAGCCTCGAACACTATACCTCCTGATAGAAAATCGACATTTTCCCAAAATCCTCTATCAATAATCCTGGTTAAACCAGAATAACACTAGAATGACCAAATCCAGTAAAAAAGAGTTTTAAAATGTCCCACCACAGCCAAAATGAAAAAAAAATCCCCGGTAATTATAGCGTTAAATGATCAACCCATTAAAGAGAAACATAAATCCCACGCATAAGTCCTCTAAAAAAAAAAAGATAGAAATTTTCTCCCGGAGAAGAAAAACGCGCGATATGGCGGCGGCTCGATAAATTCCCCGAGGATGCCCCACGCGAAGCTAGGATCAGATATCGCCCGGATATTGAAGATCAATATCACCCGGACGAAAAGATCTCTCACTGACCTCCACCAAAAACCGCGCACATGCGCCGACTCCCGCAGCCGCAGGTGCGCGCGCGGTCGCGTTCTCCGCGCGACCGTAGACGCGAACGCGCTCTCTGCGCACCCCCCTGCGCAGGTTCCCGAGGCCGGGGAGGTCACGTGACCCCGCGTCGGCCTTGGCGGTGACTCCCCATGGGCCGCGCGCGATTGGCTGATTCCCCTAGACCGCGTCGCGCCCCAGCGGAAATCTCGCGGCCCGGAGATACGTAGAAAGCGCTTGCGCCCAGCGATTTATCGTTATCCGGGCCACAATAGTATGTCGTACTGTACGGCGCGGCCTGGCGGCCGAAAAATGCGCCCCGAGTCGGGAGTTTCGGTCCTCGGAGTCTAAATTCTATCGTTCCGAAGGAAATCTCCCCCGGGGGTGGGTCCTAAAGCCGCGAGAGACGCGCCCGTTCCGTGGGGAGTCGATGATAAAAACTATGGCGCCCCGTAAACCCCTAAACGCCATCCCCTTGGTCAGGGGTCACTCCAGAGGTCCTGCTAAAATCGGGGGTGGTCCTGGACACTGATGGGCACCGGTTGGTAAATTAGTTCTCCCGATATTTCTGCCTTTCTTAATAATTACAAGCGGCGGTCACGCGTTAATGGGTGCTAAAAGAATTTAGATAGTTCCAGGTCACGCGACAGCTGATATATACGAAGGCCGGCGAATGACCGCGAGGAGTGATTCTTTAATATCGAATTAATATTATTGCGCGGGTATAAATGAAATCCAGTAACGCGCGCTCCCCGACGATCTCGCATTGTGTCCACGTTCTTGTGCGCTGCCGATTCCAATCAATCGATACGGAATGAATTCGACGCACCATGCTGGTGATATGCTTATGCCTGCGTGCACGCGAATGCATCGGTGTACTTAGGTGTGTACGCGGGGACCACCTTACGCGATGTAATGGGTATAGCCTACTCGAGTTAAGTCAGCACGGATCGTTTATCAAACCCGAAACCCTTTCTGCTCGCAGAGGCAGTTCAAGTACAAGAAGAGCCTGGAGAAGCTCTACGTCTTCTACCAGAGAAGACTGCAGAATGGGTATCTCTCTCTTTTCGTGCTCCTGCAGCTGGTGCTCGGTGTCGTCCACTGCACGATATTAATCGCGATGGTGAGCGCTATGAGATATCCGGGACGGAAGAAAGGAAACTCCGAGTGGATATTCTTGCTCCCCCGTCCTTGGTTCCGCTCTATATCGGGCGGCCGTGTAACGACCTTGGCGTCGGTGTTTACCAGATATCTTATCCCGATTTCTCTGGGCAGGTTAACGTGGAGGAGTCCTTGCCGGACGTGTTGACCTACAGCGTGGTGGGCGCTCTACTTTGCCCGGTGATAGCGCTGTCCTTCCGGCCGAAGCTCATCGCGAAGAAGACGTACCTCCCGGTGGTCCTGTCGGGTCTGATCATCGGTATCTTGGTCATCGGGGATCTGGCCATACCACTGTACTACACCCTGACGTACGCCGACGACATTCCGGCGATAAGGTGTCTAAAGCGATCTCCGATAGCGAATAGACTTCGGGCCGCCATCTTAGATCCTCGTTTTGCTAGCCAGTCTCTTGGGACGGGACGCTAAAATCTAAAAATTAGAATTAAAATTATAGAAATAAAATATTAGAAAATTAGGACTAAAATGCGGGAGTCGATTATCACCGAGAAGTGTTCTAACTTATAATTTTTCATTTTCGGTGACAGACCGGCCTATGCCACTCATGCTCTTCTGGTATGCTACGTGTTCTTACCCCTGACGGAGAACCTGCACGCCTTCGTCCTGGGCATCACCGCCACCCTCTGTTACCTCGCTTGTTTATCTCTAGTTACGTACCGAAACATGCCGGATTACGCAGGCAGGGTAACTATCTAGAAATTAAAAAATTATCAATTGTTCATTCGGTTAGAAAAATCGCACGGTTCTTCAGGTTCTCTTACTTGAATTTTATTTGTCGTTCCAGATCACGGCGGACACGATATACTTCGCCTGCGTGAACGGCCTTGGCCTCTACTTTCGGTTCATGAACGAAGTCGTGATAAGGAGGTCTTTCCTGGATCGCCGGAAATGTGTGGAATCAACCCTCAGACTAAATTACGAGAAGGACCAGGAGGTAGGTTGATGGACCTTGAAAATAAAAATAATTAAAGTACATCGGGTATATTCTTGCAGGAGCAATTAACTCGCAGCATCCTACCCCAGCACTTCGCAGCGAAGATCAAGAAGGAGTTCCGGGACATCTTCAAGTTCATCGAGGAGCACAAGAAGCCGCCGCACAAACGGAGACCCTACAAGTACCGATTGCAACCGGCATGTTGAAATATTCCTTTTTTGTTTTCTACACAAACACCTCTCTATCGATTTTTTCAGCAACCTCTACGTGGAAACGCATAATAACGTGAGCATCCTGTACGCCGACGTGGTGAATTTCTCCGGATTAACGGTGACCTTACCGGTGACCAAGCTGGTGGAGACCTTAAACGACCTCTTCGGCAGCTTCGACGAGGCCTCCGAGAAGCACAACGTCCTCAGGATTAAATTTCTGGGCGACTGTTACTACTGCGTCAGTGGAGTGCCCACGCCGAACTCACAGCACGCGAAGAGCTGCGTGGACCTAGGTGAGCTACCCAATGAAAAAAAAAAATTATTCTCGGTTCTATCGCTCCTTCCAACATCCTGGTGAATTTTTCCCAGGCCTCGATATGATCCAAATCATCAAGGCAGTCCGCGCCAGAGTTCGCCAAGAAAGCGGCGTGGACGTAAACATGAGGATCGGGGTCCACTCGGGTACCATCATCTCGGGGATCCTCGGTGCCAACAAGTGGCAATACGACGTCTGGTCAAGGGACGTCGTGATCGCCAACAAGATGGAGCAGACCGGGAAGCCCGGGAAGGTTCACGTCACTCAGCAAACGTTGGATCTGCTGGATGCAAGTCAGTACGACTGCGTGCCGGTCGAAAGCTTAAACGACGAGACCTTGAAGAAGTACAGCATCAAGAGCTACCTGATCACGCCCTCGGGGTCGGACAGTCCAGAGCCGAATTCAAAGGTGCACCCCAGAATCTCTTGACCCTAGGAAGACTCGACGAGGCCCTCGGTCTCGTTGGGTTCGAGGATTCCCGTCGAGTGGTTGACATCGGGCCTTGTTGCAGAACAGCGAGAACCTCGTGACGCCTCCAACTACGCCGAGTACGCCTCCGTCCAGCAGCAAGCTGTACGTCAGGTGGTACACGTCGAGGGCGAGTTCTTCCGGAGTGACGGGCAGGAACACTCGACGACTTACGTCGACGGTGAATGCCGACGTCTACGCGAGCACGTTTCGTAGGAGGACGCACTTCATGGACTCCTGTCTTCGAGATTACCACCTGATGCTGAAGGCGGCCGACGCCGAGATGGAGACCGCCATCAACCAGATGCCGCTCAGCAAGTGGGAGTCAGTGTTGCAATCGCGTTCCGCTTCAAACCCTGAAACGATAGGGAACATCTTCAGGGAGTCTGAAGGAGACAGTTCCGATACCTTTCTTTTTCATTCTCTAGGCAATGGTGCAAGTGGGAGCACATCAATCCGCTGTTCCTGACCTTTCAACACTGGAGCTGGGAGATGCCCTTCCTGCGGGAGCCGGACCCCCTCTTCAAGTTCTACATTGGCTGCACGCCGGTGGTTTTGCTCTCTATGGGCTTGATCTTCATGGTTCCCACCTTAACATTGTCGGAGTGAGTCTCCCTGAACGTGGGGAACCCGCGTCTCTTCGGTTTTACTTCCGCCTGACGCTCAGTTTGTCCCTTCAGGTGGCACCTGAGTACAACCGTTGGCTACACGGCGGCGATGATCTTCTTGGTCACCTTGGTGCCCCTTACCTGGACCCACTTTGTCTGGAACAGGTGCAAGGACCCCCACGACGAGCAGGAGGGCCAGGTGCCCCAGCCCCGCAACAAACTCTTGCACTTCATGTACCAGACGAGCATAAAGGCAATTGATCTCGGCATAATTCCAATTTTTAAGTACCTTCATATCATAAGGTATCGGGGTAAGTGTAATTTAATTTGTACCCTCGATCTCAGGTGGCCTGGAGTGCGTTTCTCAGGACCATGTTATACTTGGTCATCATCGTCATGCTCGCAGCCTGCGCAATGTTGGACATGATGGCAAGTCATTTCCCCAGTTAAATTCTTTGCGAATTTCACATCGATGGGTCTATTAGCATTTCGCTTCTCCTTTCAGTTTGAGTGTCAAAATTCGGATAAGCTGGGAAGCAACAACGTCACGTCGACAATAGCCGGACCGGGGTCGGCGAAGGCGGAGTGCATATCCTCCCCTTGGGTACGCACTTAAATTTCTTAATAATTGCTCAACAAAACTGCACGTATCCCAATTTTCTTGTACGAAAGAAAAATCTTTTTTCCAGCAAATGACGGAGACCTGTTCTTTGGCGATTCTGACCAGCTTCCTCTTCCTGCGCGTCCACTTCATCTTGAAGTTCCTGATAGGCTGCACGATCGTCACATTCTACACCTGGAACATATGGACGAACAGGTCGTTAATATTTCAGTCAGGCGACACTTGGAATCCGCACTTGGAGCCGAGGCTAGCACACATTCTGAGCGTAGCTTTCCTTACGTTCTCCCTGCATCTAATCGATCGCCAGGTAAAGGAGTGTCCAAAAAATAATTTTAATTCCCTAGCACATATTAAACGTAAACTCCCAACTAGGCGGAGTACTTGAACAGGCTGGATTACCAATGGAAGCGGCAGCTGACAAAAGAGCAAGACGAAGCCTTCCACACAAGAAACGCGAACAAACTGCTGCTCCGCAACATCCTCCCGGAGCACGTGGGTTCGTACACTTGAAATCTCCCAACTCTGATAAAATTCCCCTACAAAGGTTGAAGAAGAAAAAATAAAAAGAAAAAACGATTCCTAAATTTAGCGGAGTTCTACCTGAACATGAACCGAACCGAAGAAAATGGCCGTTACCACGAGGCTTACGACACCGTAGCCGTGATGTTCGCCACCCTGACCGACCTCTCCATAGACGAGAGCGTCATCCTGGAGCGACCGATGTTGGTCGTGCTCAACGAGATCATCTGCGAGTTCGACAAGCTGCTCTTCGACCCCAGCTTCGCCTGCAAGATCGAGAAGATCAAGATCGCCGGTGAGCAGCACCTAACAATTCGGACCATAGATATAGATTAGCAGCTCTAAAAAATTCTACCGTCCGCTTGCCGGAAAAATTAATCTTCAGGCACTACCTACATGGCGGCTTGCGGCCTGGAGGCGACGAGACGCGACTCGGTGCACAGCATGGAGAGCGACGACAACAACGAGGACCACGTGGTGAAGATCATGGCGCGATTCGCAGCCCAGATGATGTCCGTGCTGGACAGGCTTAACGTGGAGTCGTTCTCGAGATACAAGTCCTACAAGTGAGTAGGATATAAGAATGAAATTCAAATGGAGATGAAAGTTATACGACAGGAGTATGGTCTCAAAGTTTAAGGATAGGCATATCTCACGGGGAGGTGACAGCAGGAGTGGTCGGTGCCCAGAAGCCTCTCTACGACATCTGGGGCGACGCGGTGAACATGGCGTCGAGGATGGACACCACAGGGGTGCCGGGCAAGATCCAGGTTCGTCTCACCTATTAAAAAATCATTATTAATGAAATGTATATATATATAAATTAGAAGGTGAGCGCATAAAATATACAAAGTATGTTCAAAGGTGACGAAAGAGACCGCGGCCGTCCTCGAGCAACACGGGGTTAAGTGTTTCCTTCGAGGAGAGACCTGGGTGAAGCCGAAGGGGCTGGTGACCACGTACTTCGTCGGCGTGGACGAGAAGCGACAATTGCAGAGAGTGGACTCCATCGAGGAGACCAGTTTATGACGAAATGTATCAGGGGAAAAAGGTCGCACGAATCGAGGCGGGGTGCTCAGGGGGCCATTTAAACCGAGCGCAAGATTTAAAGGGCGACGAGCCGCCATTGCGCCCTGGCGCTAATCAAAATTCGGTGATATTCCGTAAAAGCGCATTAGGGGGAAAAATGAGTTAACGTTAGAGGGAAGTAGGGCATAAGTCGCGTTCAATTATACCATTACGTTGGTCCAAACAATCTTCAGTACCTGAAGGACGATCGTGCGGTTGTCCTACCCGGGAAAGTCGAGACGACACCCTCGGGAAGGCCCTCCGTCTCTACAGCTATGTGATATCTACCATTGTGCAAGGCACTCGTGCGTAATCGCACGCAATCTTCCAGAATCTTATCGCGTAACTGGCCAAAGAATTATTAATTACGTTATTTTCTTTTCTTTTCTTTTTTTTTTTCTCGCGCATCCGCCGGCGACGTCGGGGATAGGTTTATCGATACTTCGTAGGCCTTTGGTTGTTCTTAGTTGTACTTAGGTTTAGAAATTCCGTTCCGCTCTTGACTAATGTAGTCCATAAGCGCGCGACGATATTCCGGACGATAATCGCGCGACTACGTGGACCTTTTAATATTTTTCGAGGCATCGTATTTATATCCTCATCTCTGTCGTCTCATCCCACGTACGGTCACCCTCTGTAACATCCGCGAGAAGCTGCGGGGATTTTATTTTTCTACAAACGCGCATCACCCGACGCGTGCCCTCGCGTTTTTACATGTAAATAATCATGTACATATTTATTTACGACTGTACGACCAACGTGTGTTAAGATTAAGGACTTTAATAAAAGTATTTATTGCGGCGGCCCGAGTTTCGTCAATGAGACCCCCGATAGCTTCCACTCCACATCTCGATTTAAATCATCAATTTCTCGAAAGATCATCCTTCCAATGCATTCTGCATACATTTTTCCCATTCTACGAATTTGCACCGAGCCTTGTATCAAGCCCAATTCAAAAAACGCGATAAAATGCGTAAGTACGAGCTGAATATCTGCACGCCGCTTCATGAATAATTCCAGGCCACCCGTTAGACGGCAAATCTGCTCTGGTTGCGCTACTTTCCTCCCGAGGCGTTCCTTCGAGGGCTTCGGAAACGTCAGTCGCCGTCATTGCAGATGGTGCTGGAAAACGGCATTCGAGATACGAGATTCGAGTGCGCCTGCATTATCCGCCGAATTTCCGAGGTCTTCTGCGAGACTTTTTAAGCGATTAAAGAACCCTTTGGGTGTTCTCTTAGTCGCAGGACGACGGAAATCGGGCGAGCCTCCTTCATTACTCGGGTGAGTCTTTTGAACCCCCTGAGTCACGTATTCTTGCATGCGGCACACTTTTGTGTGAAATACATGTGTGTCCACTAATTGGATGAAACTGTCAGGTAGGCGGACTCGCACGGAGAGGCCAGCTCGAGCTTCTTGGTGTTTCCCTCGAATTATCGACCATCCGCGCATTTGGTACGTGGGTTTCGCGAACCTTTTCCCTCGGCTCCAAGGTTAGCGTTCCACAACCTTGGTGCTCAACTGCAGCATAAAACGCTCCGTCGAGCGTGAAAAAGGTAATCCGTAAAATGTGCCGATGACGTTGGTGTTTCTCTGCTAATTAATCTCCATCCTCGTAGGAGGAGATTCGAGGTAATTGGAGGTTAGGTTTAGTCATGGGCTGCCTAGCCTTTAAAAATGGCCGACACCTATTGACTTTTTAGGTTTTCAGTGAATTTCACTTCTGTCGATATACGTGAGGTCGTTTCGTAGGGCATATATTCTCTACTTGAGATAATGAATGTGAAAAGTTTTACGTAGGGTTCCGTTGATTGTTCGCAGATCACTGAGACTCGAGAACCACCAGGATGGATATCGGGTTCTCTTCGTACCACAATGGGGGGCCGACGAGGGAGCAGGATTTCGAGAGGCTCTCCCAAACGATTGGCACCTCGATAATGAAGATATCACAGAATGGTAACGTCATGCGGTTAAAAGTTTTGGAAGGGTGGAGCCATCATGGTGAACCGTAGGTAATTTTTTATTATTCTTGCAGTTTCTTCTATGCAGAAAATGGTCAGTCAGTTGGGAGGGTCGACAGATTCACAGGAGCTGAGGAGCCAACTGTAAGTCCTGCGGATGTTGCGGATGGCATGGTTTTGTAATAGAAGAAATATCTAACGTTCTATCATTTCTACAGACATCAGATACAACACTACACCCAACAGTTAGCAAAAGACACGAGTGCACATTTAAAAGATCTGACCAACCTGGCAAATAATTCAGGAGGAAGCAGCCCAGGCGAGCAGAGGCAAAGGAAGATGCAGAGGATGAAGCTCCACGATGAATTTGGAAGTGCCTTGAACAGTTTTCAAGTGAGATAATTATAGCTGATACATAAAAATATTTTACATGGGTTAGCAAACTGAACCGATGCCTGACCGATACACTTTCTCCAAAGGGTGTTCAAAAGCTGGCTGCTTCCAAGGAAAAGGAGATGGTCAGGAAAGCGAAGGCAAGCGTACCTCTTCCTCCGTACAGAGAGAAGAAACAAGAGACTCTGATCGAGCTACAGGACAATAGAGCGCAGAAGCAGTTACAGCAACAACACCAACAAGAGGAACAAAATCTGCGGATGTTGGAATTACAAGAAGCAAATATTCGTCAGCTGGAGGTTCGTAGAGAGTTCAGGTATAGGGCTTCCTTAAAGCGAAAGATGATGAAGTAACTGACATAAAATCTTTGATTTCAGAGCGACATTAACGACGTGAATCAGATCTTCAAAGACCTCGGAGCAATGGTGCACGAACAAGGAGAAATCATCGACTCGATCGAGGCATCGGTGGAGCGAACGGAGGTTTTCGTGAACGAGGGTGCCCAAGAGCTGAGGCAAGCCTCCACGTATCAGAGCAAATTGCGCAAGAAGAAGTGTATACTCCTGATCATTGGAGTGGTCGTCCTAACGATCCTAATCGTGATAATATGTTGGCAAAGTTCCTCCTAAACCATGGAGCCTGCTCTCGCTGACGGCGAGAAATTCTGACGTAATTTAATCGAATCGTTTACGACTGACACGTATTGGGACAACTCCTTTTCGACAGAAACCCGAACCGATCTCGTTCGCCACCATCTATCGAATGACACGCCTAGCAGGCTACTTTCGACCATCTGTCAGAATCATCGATGGACGAGCACTTCAGGAAACTTACAAGGCATGGAAGAAAGAAAATAAGCCCGAAAGGAGCCGGATGCTTTGCAAATATGCGCTTGGCGTGGGACTCATTTACCTTTATAATCGCACGCTCTGGCGCATTAGCATCTTGGCAGCATCGATGCAAAGCGGAGCATTTTGCAGGATGGCGGAGATAGAGAGAAGGAGCATGCAAGAAGCCAGGTGCTATTCACAAATGCATCTTTATTGACACTTGCATTGTCCTCTTCAGAAAGTTACTCTCATTAATGACTTGGTACCGCAGCACGAACCAGCTTACAGAACGGCGAAGAAAGAAACTTGCATTCGTAAGGTCGAATGCTTGATGCAAAATCTCCCATGTTGCGTAGATAATTATTTACATGCTGTTCTAACAGTTATTAAACGAGCCCATGATCGCTCTCAGGAAAGGCTCGTTCAAATTATTGCAGCCATGGAGGGAGGTCCAAGACACCCGGTCCATTTTTTATGATACTCCGTTCAAGGAACGGCGTCAATATAGCTACTACTATCATAACCTCATAATCGAGTTCACGCTGGCGAAGAGTAATTTCGTTGCTGGGGAAAAGGAACTCCTAAGATGATATTAACTCCGTATTGAACGGCCGTACTGTATATTGTGCTCGGTACTTCGAGTGTTTTCGTGTACATCATTCCAGGTTATTAATTTAGTGGCGATTGTTTGGTAGCGCTCCTCGACATAACCCGAGGGTTGCTAGTATAACGCAATGTATTATATATTACACTATATTTAAGAACGTTGATTTCTTTTAATCAAAATACAATAAAAGACAATCTTATGTCCCCTCTTGAATGTTTAACTATCCATCAGAATCTTGAAACCGTGTAGAGATTCACCTTCTGCCGGTAAAGTAGAACTGCTACTGCTACCAGAGATGAGAAGGGAGATTGCTCACGGGCAGGATCGTGTGATCGCATCCTGCCCGTAAGCACTCTCTCAACTCATCTCTGCTGCTACGGCCCACAGATGTCAGTACTGAAACTGGTTCGAGCACCCTCTGGAAGAGAGAAGTGAAACTATCGCCTCTACGTTAACCTGCATCTCTGACCAAGGGACACGGGAACCATGGAGAAATTCCTCGCTGCATCGAAAGCGAAACTGGTAACACATTATTGGACGCTTCCCTGCATTCAATCTCTAAGAAACTAATCTACGCAAACCGCGAATACGATAAAGAATCAATATTCTCCCCCCAGTTACCTGATCCGTCATTCCAGCCAAACGAACATTCGCCCTTCGGTCGATACAGAGATCCCTGTCTTCTCGGACACCCTACATCTACCCGACATCGATATTAATATCCATTAACCGGGATATCAAGCCACTCTGATGGATAAACCGAGGAAAATTCTCGGGGTTTGTCCAATTCGAGTGGTCGGGTAAAGCGAAACGCGCAGCGCGTCCAGGCGAAGCCATCTGTCGGGCCTTTTCGGAAGTTCACCCAGAACGCGGACCGATAATTCCCGTTCCCTCCGAAATCACCAATCAGCCCTGGGAATATTGTCCTTCGCGTTTAATGGCACACCGTCGCGATGAAACGTCCCTTTTAACCGACGGTTATTAATCACCGTCCATTTGAACGATCCGCGGATTAATTACGGCGCACTGCCGCGCAATCTGACGGTGACGTTTCGACGCACCCCCGGCGGACACTTTTCGCATCCGCCGACTCGGCTCCGCTCGCGCCTACATTTACGTCAATCAGCATTACGCCGCTATCGATTTTACGACAGCGCATATTTGCAATGGTTATTTAAAAATGATTAAGCCCAGATCGCGCCCGAAGGCGGGCTTAAACTTTTAATGAACGGCCCTGGAGGGGAGGCACGCCGAGCTTTTAGCGCTAATTTTTAATCGTTCGTCGGAAGCGCCGAGTCGGGATGCTGATGTATATATGTATACGTGTATATGCCTTCTACACGGCACGTATGTATACATAAAGAGCCGATGTACATGGCACTACAGCGGCTGCCCCTCGGCCCTGCATTAAATATTATTGAATTTCTTCGCCGCGCTGGATTTCACGTCCGTCAATCTGCATTTCGGGTATCGAATTTGCCCGGTCGGCGCGTCGCAATGGCGACACTCCTCGAGAGTCCAAAAAAAAAGGGGGAGGTGAAAGAGCGCCCCCGACCTCGTTCGTTCGTTTCAATTTCCCCATCGAGGAGTCCAGGACCTACGTCCTCGCTCGCTATCCAACGTAGTCATAAGACGGCATTAAAATGTCCTGCCCTATAAAATCTTTACGATCATTCCGCCGAGTAGTCGTCCCCCTACTCTAAGCCACCCTCTATTCGCGTTTCCTTTCCGAGCCCCCTTAACCTTCGAGTTTCGGGGAATTAAATCTAAAATTAGACTAATTTTCGACTTCGCTTCTAACTATAGGCGGAGGATCTCGCCCGGATTGCGGACCGTATCCTTTAACATTGCATTTGGTGCTAAACTCTGTCGGGCGGTAAAACGTTATCACTGAGGGATATTACGGGTTTAGAACCAAGGGCGTAACCCTTATCGTCAATGCCGCGTCCTCGAGCCCTTCTTATATCCGAGTTCTTTCTAACGGGGATTTTCCACTCCCTTAATCTCGGCAAATCCGCGATCCGATTTAACGTGACGGTACTTTACAGGTGTTTCGCGAGTACCTCCGCTAATTCCTTCGATCTCGTTGCAGGCTGATCTCAGAATGGCGGGAAAGGTGACGGTGGTCATGGGGAACCAGACCTGCGACCTGGATTCCGCGGTCTGCGCCCTGGTGGAGGGCCTCCTCCGATATCAGGAGGCAAGGACCCGTAATCACGATCCGGCCGTGATACCCGTAATGAATGTCGCGGAGGAGGAATTCCGCGTAAGGACCGAAGTCGTTTATTACCTCAGACGACATAACGTACCCCTAAATTTGCTGACGTTTCGGTAAGTTTACCCCGCTTTATTACGGTTCCCTTTGTTTCGGAAAATCCGCCTTACCCGAGTTATCCCCGGAATTGCAATTAGTGACCTTGCCCCCTCCACCGACGCCCTTTAATTGCCTCCCCCGGCAGGCCCGGCCTTAACATCGCCTTTTGAGGAATAGCTTTTCACGTGGGACACGGTAAACGACCATCAGGCCATTCAATACCTTTCCGTTCGTATACATTATTCAACGCTATTACGACATCCCGAGCGGTCACCCCTGCACGTTTTCGCGTCTCTTTCTTCGAGCCAAGAAGACCTCTGTACAAGATTACGAGAATTAACTTTCTCGCGCCAACAAATCACTCGTTCGTAAATCTTCAATTCATACGACTTAAGATTATGACATATTAAAATTATATTTAAAATTCCTAGGTGACAAAGGAGCGGCGCTGTTTTAGGTTATGCCGCTGATAATACCCGCTGACCTCAAAGTCACGTGGGTAAGGGCGAATGGTGGAGGGTTAATTTGTCCTGTACTCGTACTCCGGGACATTCGGACTAAGGACGATGCACTTGGGGTCCGCACCGGGCAGGCGCTCGATTCATGGCCAGGGGGCGGGCCAGGAATCGAGCAGGCATCCCTGGCGCGAATGGCGTTAACGGGCCAAGGTTAATCGATCCTTCGACAGCTCGCAGGTCGCGCTGGAGGTCCTCGCCGGGGAGCGGAGGCTGGAGCTGGTCCTGGTGGATCACCACGCGCTCCCGGAGCGGGACTCGTCGCTGGCCGATTCCGTCGTGGAAATTATTGATCACCGGCCCCGAGACGCGGCCTGGCCCTGGCGCGGGAGGACGATTAATTTACAAACAGTCGGCAGCTGCGCCACTCTGGTGGCCGGGAACGTATTAGCGAGGCGCCCGGAAGCCCTGGACTCGCAAGTTTCCAATCTTCTGAGAGGCGAGTTTCCACCTTTTTTTTCTCTCCCCGGGTAATTTAATTCCATTATCGACCGTTGCCTCACGGCGGCGCCAATGGACGGGAGAGAGCGAGAGAGACGGATGGAGCGAAGGCGGGAGAAACAGCGAGAGAGGGAGAGGGAAAACACTTTGGAGGTTAGCTGGGCGGGACTGCGGTCCTCCTTCCGTTCAGGACCAAATCTTAAATGTTTTCCGCTACGGCACGCCCGCGTCCCATCGGCATTCCGCGCACGATCAATGGCGTGCCGAGCCAAATCGAAACCATGCCGGCGATCCGCTGGACCGGCCGCGTCGAGGCCATCGATTTCGTCCAGCTCGTCGTATCTTGGACTCACCTATGCCCCACGAGGTCGAGCACCGAACTGGAATTCGCTCGTCGACCGGTACAAGTCTTGACCGGTCGCGGGTCCGCCGCCATCTTGGATTTCGTCGTCTCCCGATGGACGCTCTTCGCCTCGCTTTAGAGACTCGTTGCCTCGAAAGAAGAGGTCGCGAGCGATGTTCCTTTATAGATTCTCGTTCCTTGAGGTTGTCAAACACGACTGGCGACCGCGGTGAGTTTTGACCCTGTCCTTAGGGGTTAATACCGCTTTTCCGAATCCCCGGCTTACGGTGTTAAGCCGTAATCTGGAATTCTGGCGAGTCTTGATCCCGTTCGCCATCTTGGACTTCTCGAGACCGTTTCTGGCTAAGCCGTGGCCCTCTATCTCCTCCTCCAGACCGAAGCCCTCTTCGAGTTGCTCTCCCAAACCCGAATCCGTCTTCTCGAAGAATCCTTGTTGCCGAATGCGTCTTCGGCCTCGAATTCGGAGACTCGCTTTGTCTCTTCCTCGCGCCATCGGCGCGTCCCCTTCTTCTCTCGGTTCTGCTCGCCGAGTGCGCCTCATTGTTTTCGGCACGCCATGAATACGGCGAAGACTGTCAAGCACAGCTACACTCGTAATTTCGGGGCTCGAAAGTCCCGCGAACAAGACCTTCCTTCGTAAGCCATTTTTCCAAGGGCGTTGAATCCGCCTACAATCGATGCGACGCCATCTTGCTTTCGAGGCGTCCCCGTTTCGGGGGACTGCTAACTTGCCGCGAAAAATGGCCGGAATTAATCGTAATCGCATGGTAATTCGGGCAAACGGAGGACCGAGACGCGAATCTCGTGCCGGGCCTTTCTTTGGGATGAACCCTTCCTCGAGGAAGGTGGCGATTTACATAACGAGCTTGCTCGCGCCGTTTGCCGATATTAACGCGAACGAGCGTCCTCGAGGTCTTGAGGGTCACGGATGGTCCTCGTTAATTCGAGATTTAATTTAAACATAAGTAACGCGTAAACGATTCCAGGACGTATCTTATGAGGTTTATTTTTCAACAGGCGCCATCCTGATCGACACCTGCAACTTCTCGAAGGAGGCCAATCGCGCCACTCCGTTGGATTTGGAGGTTATGCAGCGGCTCGAGGAAGTGGATGGCGTTAGAGATGATAGAGAGACGGTGTACAAGGAGATTTTGGCCGCGAAGACCGACATATCCGAGCTAACGCCGAGGGATTTGCTGATCAAGGATTACAAAATGGCGGGCGGGGTGCCGATCGCCGGCTTGCCGGTGCTGGTGGAGGTGGGACATTCCCTTTGATTCACGGGGCTTAAACGTTAACGACTCCCAAGGACCGAGGATCTGCGTTTGTTTTCAGGAGTTTATCAAACTGGAGGGCGCCTACGAAGCCGTGGAATCGTTTACGAGGGCGAGAAACGGCCAGCTCGCGATCCTTATGGGGCTGGATTTAAAGAACGACGTCGTAACGAGAGACATCGCCGTGTTCTCATTGTCGCCCGATGAGCTGGAAAATAAAGTGAGTGGCGCGTTTTGTTCTCGGCGCCTCTCGCGATTCTCTCGGCTCGCTTTCTCGTCCCCTTGTTCCTCGGCGTCCGCCACCCTCCGACTCTCATCCGGCTCCTCGAGAGACGCTCCGATTCCGCTCGACACCGCGACTTTGCGCGCTGCAGCTCTGCCGGGGACGGGGGGGGGGTCGAGATTGCGAATCGATCAGTCGCAACCTTTCGACCGGCCTAATGGCACGCAACCTTCGCGATTGGTTTGCTCCCGGACCCCGTCTCGTTTTTATCTCCTCCAAGGGTTCCAGCGTATCGGTAATAGTCCTCCGGTGCCATGGCGTCACGTACCGCGAAAGTCGAGGGGGCGAGCGCCGGAGATTAAGGGAAGCGTCCCACGGATGCGCGTACCTTGGTTGTCCTCTATTTTCTCAATCCTCCCTGGAAATCGCTCGCGCCCCATCTTCACGCATTTTAATTTCGCAGCCCTTATTTTATAGAACGCAAGGGACGGGTACCAGGTCCGGGAACCAATCGCGATCTGCGCAGCGACTCAGCCCGGTGCACCGCGCGAATCCGGATCCCCGAGGTGCAGGGCGAGGCGGAACAGACAGTAATCCGGCAAACCAATCGCGATCATCCGTCCGCGCGCACATCTAGATCCTCGATCCGCGGAGAGGCGCCAGGTCGGGCGTCCCATTCCGCCCCCGTTCCGCCGCCGCGTTTTCGCGTCTACGGCACGGTCTCTCCCCGACCCTCCGGAGGATCTCGCGGGAGTTTCGAGTGCTTTTAGATTTTAAGCGAGCCCCTCGACGCGTCCCCCGCCGCCGGCGTGGAAACTAAAGTTGCGTTTCTTCCGTCCAGGTGATCCGAGCGTTGACGTCCGCCACCCAGCCGAGTCTGCAGCTGACGGAGTCGTCGAGCCTCGTCGAGCCCGGGCGCAGGTTCCTGCTCTATCGGCAGGGCAACGTGCGGGCGTCGCGCAAGCAAATACTGCCGATCGTACAAAGCGCCGCCGTCGCCGCGCCCTGTCAATGTTGACCCTCCTGCAGTACTTGCCGGCCCGGGCAAACCTGCCCCTAAGTGTGTATTAACACTTTGCCGCCGCGAAATGCGCCCCCGCGATAAATCATTCCGGCTTTCGCGTGGTTATCGATTGGCCTCGCCGGCAGGGCGATTGAACCGGCAGCCCCCCCGGCAGCTGTGTACAATGTACCGACATACCGACCGCCTGTACGACCATCTTCCCTGCGATTCCATGCACGGGCCCCGAATTCCACCGCCGAATTCCGACCACGCTTTCGACGCGGCCCTGTTACGAGGACCGGCTAACGAGTTCGTCGCTAAAAGAAGAGAGGCCAAGAAACGGGAACCTAGGGCCGCGTCGGGGGGTGGAGGGTCAATGGCGGATGGACCTCGTCTCGGGGATTACGCGAACATCCCCCATTGACCGGTGGAATTTGGCCGTTCGGTTGTTCAGCGGTTAATCCACCGCGCCGTGTTTAAAGTAGATACGAGCCGGTTTGTTTGCCCGCGGAATACTGCATTAAATGTTAAATGCGCGCGGAAAAGTTTTAATTTGCCGCGGTTTAATATATTGCAGGAAGTTCACTCGGTTAATCGCCGGCCCGGTTATACCAGCGCCCCGTACTGCCAGCGCGCTGCATTTTTCCGTGCATCAGCAGTAGAGTCTGCTGCAACAATTAGTTGCGCTTTCGCCCCCGCTTACACGGGGGTTGGATTTTCTAGCAATCGGGGGGAGAGGAATCGCTAAGTCGAGGGCGCGGTTTCAATTGCGATGGCCAGGTATACGGTTGCCGTTGCCACGAGGTAGGAAGCGTGTACACTGGTGGTCATGAATGGCTTTCTGGTGTATGGAGCGGGGAGGAGCTGGTGCGAGCGGGTACGGGGTCGTTCGATAGACCAGTTTGAAGGAAAGAACCTTCCTCGTCGGGCTGAAGCGATGGCAGGTGCGAAGAAAATTTAACGGGGACAGGGCAGCCCGAAAACGGACTGAAAACGTCATGTATCCGCTCGAAAATCGCTTCAAACCCCTGTATCTCACCTGAAAAAAATTAAAAGGATGTACGCGTATATGTAGTTTTTCCGGTACGCCGTGCGTAGAGGAAAGGGATCCAACCCCTTATTTTTTGTACCAGGGCTACTCCCGGAACATGTTTGCTCTCACGCTACCTCGCGTGCACCAAGAGAGGCCGTCCGGACCAAAGCAAGTGAGGCGAACCGGAAACCAAACAGCGGCAGGTCTGGTTCCAGGCCTGTGCCAACAAATAAAGAAGCCATTAGGCTCAGTCCTAATTAAATCATACCGCGACCCCCGGGAAAAACAATCCCATGACGAGGAGCGCGCTCGCGGATCAGTCGGCCCAAGATGGCTGCGAGCAATCCGGAGCGGAACGATCGCTCCACGCAAACCCCGTGTTTGTCCACCTTAAGAGCAAGGCACGAGGTCGGGGCAACCAAAGCAAAGAAGGAAAACATCCGCCTCCACCTTCCCTCCACTCTGGTCCGGAAACTTAAGCGCGAGCCCGAACGAAACGCAACGATTCCGCATCTGGCGGGGTAGACTCACGAAGTAGCGGCACAAAGGACGCGGAAAAGCGACCTCGGATTTCTGCGATTGAAGGTCGGCTCTTTTCCGCCTCTTGCTCTTTTTACTTCTTTCCCCGCGTGACGCCGTCCAAGGCCACCCCCATTCGTGAACGGAAGCTCTCGCGGCCAATCCGCGGCGGAATTCCACCTTGGAGTCGGGGTCGCGCGTCGCGGCGGAAACCGCAGCGGAGCCGCCGCTCGCTCTGCGGCCGTCAACGCGACCGGCCCCTCCCGAGGGGTGCCAGCCCGGGCGGAATCATCATTTCCGCGCGCGGCTCATAAATTAAAGGGGAGTGCACCCTCGCGTCGTCGGCCACGATGGATCAACGGTTCCGACGAATTAATCGGTGCGATTTTTTTCCTACCAATCCCCCGGACCCCGCGTCCGTCCCGCCCCGCCAGGTGTGCGTGCGTCTAGCTCGAAATTGCCAATTTGTACGGGGCGAACTTTTCCGCCCGTACGCCGGACGGAGGAAACCCCCTTCCGCAAGTGCAAGTCCCTGGCTGATTCTGCCATTAGTCGCGTCGAGGATGCGATTGCACCTCTAAGTTACCTTTTCATCCCCTCCTTCTATGGTCGCCGTGCATCGTTCGACCGTAAAAGCGATCCGCATTCAAATAGCTCGTCCGTCCCGTTCGGAGTGACCTACTTGGCCGCAGCTTATCGGCCGCGTCGTTGACCCCGTCGAAACCGCCTGGCCGCGGAAAATCTTCATTTCTTCATCTAGCGATCCGCATTCCATTTTCTTCGGATGTATGCGACGTCCACTGGTCGAGGTCGATGGTCCACGTCGATATGGCTCGTCTCCGCTAGCTCGGTTGACTCGGCATCGCCTTCGAGTTTCCTCGCGAGTTCCTCGAGCGTCCGCCGCGCGGCGCTGCCGGTCACTCGTTCCTCCGCTTCTGGGCGTTCCTGGATCCCGGGCGCGCGGTTTAACATCCAATCCATAACAATCCGGGGCGCGTAACCTCTGCAAATGACTGCCATCCATCTGGCCGAACTGCAATATGTTCCCCGGGACGTTATTGATAAACGGGGGCGGGACGAGGGACGGCCGGAGGGAGGCGACCCTCCAAGACACATAAAGCAAGACGCGGGAGAGGTCGAGGGTCGTACCCGCGCTCGGGCAAACCGCGTTATTGGCGTTCGTTCCCGATAACACGTGCACCTACGTACAACGACACGTACATTGTGTACATACGTGTATTCCCGGCATACAAGGTGTTACGGAGCTCCGAAATCCTGACGGTTATATTTTGCAAGGACCGTCCCCGACCGGAGGGCGAATCTCGACTCTCGTCGAGGCGCAAAGTAGAGCATTCCATTTCGCAGGATCGGATAGGCCGCAGGGGGAGGCGGCAAAACCGTGGCGAAACCGACGCAGAGCCGTCAAGTCCTCCCGGGAGGAACGCGTTTCACCTGGGCGCATCCTTCTCCCGGAAGAGTCCTGCGAGGGAATCGCGGCGGCGGCTATTTTCTTCCCCTCTCGACGAAGTTCTCCGGTTCGGCGAACTCCAGACGGTGGGTGCAGTCATCGATAACCCCCGCATTCACCGACTCGTTTGATCTCCCGATCCCTTTGGCGTCGGCGTCCTTCGAGACGTCCTCGGGTTACGGTTTGCGGCGACCTAAGGAACCCTTCCGGCGACCTGGAGAGGGAAGGACTCCGCTCCTCCGGTTCTCCAGGACCTCCGCGATGGCGCCGCGAGGGGTCTTCGGAGATTCTTCGTCGGGAACCTCGTCAACGAGACCTGGACACTACGCGAGCAAAGTCAATCTCGGTCTTGCATCGTTACGGGCATCCTCGCCAATCCCGAGTTAGCGATAGGAGTCGAGGTCCTTTCCCATGGTACAGGATCGATCGATTCCGCGTTCACCCCGGTCGGGTCTAACGAGGAAACGATCGCCTCGATTCCGAGGGAATTGCGCGGCCCGCGGTCCGGTCGGTCCAGGATATTGATTCCGCGCGGCCAAGCTTTATACGCGCGGTATACTTTCGCCGCACGAAGCGCGAGAAACGTTTGGCCTGGATCGAGCTCCATTAGGGAAGATAGTAGCGACGAGGAGTGGAAACACCTCCTCCTCGCGACGGACCCCTGGAACGGATTCCGCTCATCCAGGCGGGAAACGCGAGCGGGTCGAGAACCCACGGGAACACGTCTCGCCAATCTGTTCGGGCACTCGGGAAAACTTCCCTAGAGCCACCCATGTAAAATCAATCCCGCGTCCTGCCTTCATTCCAGGGAGGACACGAGGGTCGAGAATCCCAGGTCGGTTGGGGAGGTTTCTCCCTCCCCGAAGAAGGGAGAAACCTCCAGCTGATCATTTGTCCATGGCAAGGACCAAGTGGCCGTTGCTCCCCCGTTGATTTTATCCGGTTACCATAACCGCGCGAGGTCCCTCCTCTCCGTCTTCTTCGTCCCCCAGAAGGACCCTCCAGGACCCGGACGCATTCCCTTGCATTGCTTCGGGTTCCCAAAGTTACAGGAGGAATGCTCCCGGAGAACTTGACTCGGACGCCTAGAATGGTGCCGTTAGCACTGCCTAGACGGAGGATAACCAACGGCGGAATGTCCTAACGTCGGTCCTGGGTTTCGAATTCCGGACTGGAACTCGAGTTAACTCGAGGCCTGCCCCTGCCATTGTCATCCCGTTCATTTCCTGCGTCGTAAGTCTTGGACCGCGAAGGCTGCTCCGAAATGGTCCATGCGTCAAAGCGCGGAACGGTCCCTCTCTACAGGTGCCCCCGAAATCGGAGGAAGGAAGTATCAAACGCCAGTCGTCCTTTCTTTCCACGATGACTATCCGCTTCCTCGCGTATCGCTAAACGCACCGTTTCGGAGTTAACCTCCTCCTATCTGCGCGGTTAACGCGCCATTGGCCAGGTCCTGCTCAGGTGCGAGCTCTTCTTGCGTTTCCCTCATCTCCCCTAGGGACATTAAGGGAGCATGGTTCGCCGGGTATCGGTCTTGGTCGTGGCGCGCCACTTGGTCGTTCAAAGTTATCGATGGAGCCGCGTTCGAGAGACCGGGGGGCGCATAAAAGGGCCGCCTAAAACCTCGCCGGCTCCGGGACGGTGTGCAATAATATGACTGCGTGGGTCCAGGACCACCAGGACCACGGCGGAGGGACGCACAGAGACGCGAGTGCCCACACGGAGTCGGGCGACGTGTGCGAGCTCGCCCTTGCGGAGACCGCGGGGGTGGGTCGCGGGGTTGGCAGCTCCCAGCGGCCTCCAACGGCCCCCAGCAGCCCCCAGCCGTGTCGCCGTCGGAGGTGGTGGAGAGGCCGGGGTGATTTTGCGCACTGGAACCGCCACCACCACTGCCCGGTGAACCTTCGGCTCCGCCGTGCGGTGGGGATGCTGGATGCTGGGTAGGGTGTAGAAGAGCTCTCCGCCGTGTATCAGTGTGCATCGGAAACAACCCCTCTAAATAACATATCCCGCACAATACGACGGGTTGCCGTCCGACGGGCGTAAGCCTCGTAATTTCGTCCAACGTGGCCGAGCCAGCCGAGTTCCTGGGCCGGATAAGGGTGCTCCGCCTGGAGTGCTACCCGGACCCCTGGGTCCCCGACCGGATCCTCATCATGGGCGCCGGACTGCCCCCGAACTCCAGGACCTCCCAGGCCCGCTCCTGCACGTCGCCGGAGCGACCCGAACAGCCACGCTTCCACGGTGAGTCCTCCAGGAATTAACTCCTACCCGCTCGTCCTCTAGCCGAGGACCCGGCATCGCGGACAGTCGGTGCTCGAGGGTTGACGCGGGGTCCCGGTCCCGGCGCACCGGCCTCCAGGGTTGCGCGTCCACGTTCCGCGATGACGGTGGATACTCTCCGTTGCCCCGTTGCTCGTTCGTTCCGCATTCGAGACGCTAGACGTTTTCACGCGGAAATAAGCCGGTGAATGCAACCAATGGACTCGCGTTTTTAGATTTTCCGGAAGGGTGGAAATACTCGCCAGTCGGCTCGGATGTCCTCGTGGATGGTGTCTGGTGGTCCAGGGGCGTCCGCGAATTTTCGAAAATTCCCGCTCGCCGAGTCCGAGGTATCCTTTCCACCAGGGTTTGGTCCCACCACCGGGGGGCGTATCGTCCAACTTCCTGGAGAATGAAGGCCTTCCTTCTCGCCCGGGTCTCTCGGATGGGGTAGGCATCTCGCGTATCGTCCGTATTGTTCGAGAGCCGGCGATTCCGCAAACGGGAGAGCCTCGGATCAAAAGAGTTACTCCCGAGCTTTACCCTAGCCGAGATTCCGCGGAACCTCCGTGTGCTCCGTTCGAGGGTGTAAGTCTCGACGAGCTCGTGCGTGAAGCACCATCCCCCGTGATTATTCCAGTCACGCAACGCGCGGCTCGGCAGAGTTACTCCCTTTCCGCCCCGGTCCACCCGTTAAGGGAAAAAGAGACTGCGGATCGCCGCGCGTTCCGCGGGGGAATCGCAATTCCGTCGAGAGTGGATCACGGAATTCTTCGCGCCGCGCCTCTTTCCGCTTCTCCCCGCATTTCCGTCTTCCTCTCCTCCACCTACTGGGTGTATCGCTCCCCGGCACGGCTGTTAGCCCGCAGGATACCTTTATCCCTTTTGCGGAACGGGAGGT